GGTGTGTTAGTGAGGTATCCTGTGGGGTGTTATTGAGGTATACTGTGGTGTGTTAGTGAGGTATCGTGTGGGATGTTAGTGAGGTATACTCTGGGATGTTAGTGAGGTATACTGTAGTGTGTTAGTGAGGTATACTGTGGTGTTTTAGTGAACTATACTGTGGTGTGTTAGTGAGGAATACTATGGTGTGTTTGTGAGGTTTACTGTGGTATGTTAGTGAGGTATCTATGGTGTGTTAGAGAGTTATCCTGCGGTGTGTTAGTGAAGTATCCTGTGGTGTGTTAGTAAGGTATCCTGTAATGTGTTAGTGAGGTATCCTGTGGTGTGTTTGTAAAGTATACTGTGGGGTGTTAGTGAGGTATCCTGTGGTGAATTAGTGAGGTATCCTGTGGTGTTCTAGTGAGGTATCCTGTGGTGTTCTAGTGAGTTATCCTGTGGTGTGTTAGTGAGGTGTTCTGTGGTGTGCTAGTGACGTATTCTGTGGTGTGTTAGTGAGGTATCCTATGGTGTGTTAGTGAGGTATCTTGTGGTGTGTTAGTGAGGTATCCTGTGGGGTGTTAGTGAGGATTCCTATTGTGAGTTAGTGACGAATCCTGCAGAGTGTTAGTTAGGTATCCTGTGGTGTAATATTAAGGTATACTGTGGTGTGTTAGTGAGGTATCCTGTGGTGTGTTAGTAAGTTATCCTGATGTGTGTTAGTGAGGTATTTTGTGGTGTGTTAGTGAGGTTTCCTGTGGGATGCTAGTGAGGTTTCCTGTGGATTGCTTATGAGGTTTCCTCTTAGTGAGATTTCCTGTGGTGTGTTAGTGAGGTATCCTGTAATGTGTTAGTGAGGTTTCATGTGGGATGCTAGTGAGGTTTCCAGTGGGATGTTAGTGAGGTTTCTTGTGGTGTGTTAGTGAGGTATCCTGTGGATTGTTAGTGAGATAACCAGTGGTGAGTCAGTGAGGTAACCTGTGGTGTGTTAATGAGTAACCTGTGATGAGTTAGTGAGGTATCCTGTTTCGAGTTAGTGAGGTATCATGTGGTGTGTTATTGAGGTATCCTGTGGTGTCTTAAGGAGGTATCCTGTTGTGTCTAAGTGAGGTATGCTGAGGTGTGTTAGTGAGGTATTCTGTGGTGTGTCAGTGAGGAATCCTGAGGTGTTTTAGTCAGGCATTCTTTGGTGTGTGTTAAAGAGGTATCCTGGGGGTTGTTAGTAAGGCATCCTTTGGTGTGTTCGTGAGGAATCCTGTGGAGTGTTAGTGAGGTATCGTGTTTGGAGTTAGTTTGGTATCCTTTTGTCTGTTAGTGAGTTATACCATGGTGTGTTAGTGAGGTGTCCTGTTGTGTGTTAATGAGGTACCCTGTGGGGTGTTAGAGAGGTATCCTGTGGTGTGTTAGTGAGGTATCATGTGGTTTGTTAGTGAGGTATCCTGTGGGGTGTTAGTGAAGTATACTATTGGGGGTTAGTGAGGTATCGTGTGGGGGTGTTAGAGAGGTATTCTGTAGGGTGTTAGTGAGGTATACTGTGGTGTGTTAGTGAGGTATACTGTGCTGTGTTAGTGAGGTATCCTGTGGTGTGTAAGTGAGGTACCCTGTGATATGTTAGTGAGGAATCCATTGGTGTGTTAGTGAGGTATTCAGATGAGTTAGTGAAGTGCCCTGTGGTGTGTTATTGGGGAATCTTGTAGTGAGTAATTGAGTTATCCTGTGGTGTGTTAGTGATGTATCCTGTAGTTTTATAGTGAGGTATACTCTGGAGTGTTTGTGAGGTATACATTGGTGTGTTAGTAAGGTACCCTGTGGTGTTTTAGTGACGTTTTCTGTTGTGTGATAGTGAGGTATCCTGTGGTGTGTTATTGAGGTATCCTGAAGGATATTTGTGAGGTATCATGTAGGTTGTTAGTGAGGTATATTGTGGATTGTTTATGAGGAACACTGTAGAGTGTGTTAGTGAGGTATACTGTGGTTTGTTAGTGAAGTATCCTGTGGTGTGTTATTGAGGATTCCTGTGGGATGTTAGTTATGTTTCTGGTGTTGTGTCAGTGAAGTTTCCTGTGAGGTGTTAGTGAGGTATCCTGTGGGGCATGAGTGAGGTATCCTGTAGAGAGTTAGTGAGGTATTCTGTGATGTCTTAGTGAGGTATACTGTTGTGTGTTAGTGAGGTATCCTTTGGGATGTTAGTAAGGTATACTGTGGTGTGTTAGTGAGGTATCCTGTGGTGTGTTAGCGAGGTATCCTGTCGTGTCTTAGTAAGGTATCATGTGGTGTGTTAGTGAGGTTTCCTGTGGGGTGAGGTTTCCTGTGAGGTGTTAGTGAGGTATCTTTTGATGTGTTAGTAAGGTATCCTGTGGTGTTTTTGTGAGGCATTCTCTTATGTGTTTATGATGTTTTCTCTGGTGTGTTATTGAGGTATATTGTGGTTTGTTTTGAGCCATTTTGTGGTGTGTTAGTGAGGAATACTGTGGTGTGTCAGTGAGGTATCCTTTGGTGTGTTAGACAGGTATCATATTGTGTGATTGTGAGGTATATTGTGGTGTGTTAGTGAGGTATCCTGTGGTGTTTTAGTGAGTTATCCTGTGGTGTGTTAGTTAGGTATCCTGTTGTGTGTTAGTGAGGTATCCTTTTGTGTGTTAGTGAGGAATCCTGTGCTGTGTTAGTTAGGTATACTGTGGTGCGTTAGGGTGTTATCCTGTGGGGTGTTAGTGAGGTATCCTGTTGTGTGTTAGTGAGGCATCCGTTGGTATGTTTTTGAGGTATCTTTTTGTGTGCTAGTGAGGTATCCTGTGGTGTGTTAGTGATGTATCCTGTGGTGTGTTAGTGAGGTATCCTGTGGTGTGTTAGTGAGGTATCATGTGGTGTGTTAGTGAGGTTTCCTGTGGGGTGAGGTTTCCTGTGAGGTGTTAGTGATGTATCCTGTGGGGTGTTAATGAGGTATCCTGTGGTGTGTTAGTGAGGTATTCTGTGGTGTGTTATTGAGGATTCCTATGGGATGCTAGTGAGGATTCCTGGTGTGATAGTTTAGATATCCTGTGGAGTGCTAGAGAGATATCTTATGGTATAAGGGAGGTATACTGTGGTGTGTTAGTGAGGTGTCCTGTGGTGTGCTAGTGAGATATCCTGTTGGGGTGTTATTGGGGTTTCCTCCTGTGTGTTAGTGAGGTATCCTGTGGGGTGTTAGTGAGGTATCCTGTGGTGCGATAGGGAGGTATTCTGTGGTGTGTTAATGAGGTATCCTGGAGGATGTTTGTGAGGTATACTGTGGTGTGGTAGTGAGGTATCATGCAGGTTGTTAGTGAGGTATACTATGGAGTGTTTATGAGGTACACTGTGGAGTGTGTTTGTGAGGTATTCTGTGGTTTGTTAGTAAGGTATCCTGTGGTGTGTCAATGAGGAATCCTTTGGTGTGGTAGAGAGGTATCATTTTGTGAGATTGTGAGATATATTGTGGTGTGTTAGTGACGTATCGTGTGGTGTTTTAGCGAGGTATCCTGTGGTGTGTTAGTGAGCTATCCTGTTGTGTGTTAGTGAGGTTTCCTTTGGTGTGTTAGTGATGTATCCTGAGGTGTGTTAGTGAGGTATCCTGTGGTGTTTTAGTGATGTATCTTGTAGTGTGTTAGTGAGGTATCCTGTGGTGTGTTAGTGAGATATCCTGTGGTGTGCTAGTGATGTATTCTGTAGTGTGTTAGTGAGGTATCCTATGGTGTGTTAGTGAAGTATCCTGTGGTGTGCTAGTTAGGTTTCATGTGGGGTGTTAGTGAAGCTTCCTGTGGTGTGTTAGTGAGGTTTCCTTTGAGGTGTAAGTAAGTTATCCTTTGGTGTGTTAGTGAAGTATCCAGTGGTGTCTTAGTGAGGTATCCTGTGGTGTGTTATTAAGGATTCCTGTAGTGAGTTAGTGAGGTATCCTGTTGTGTGTTAGTGAGGTTTCCTGTGGGATGCTAATGAGGTTTCCTCTGGGGTGTTAGTGAGGTTTCCTGTGGTGTTTTAGAGAGTTATCCCGTGTTGTGTTAGTGAGATACCCAGTGGTGACTTAGAGACGTATCCTGATGTGTGGGAGTGAGTATCCAGTGGTGAGTTAGTTATGTATCCTGTGGTGTGTTTGTGAGATATGCTGTGGTGTGTTAGTGGGGTATCCTGTGGTGTGTTAGTAAGGTTTCCTGCGGGATGTTAGTGAGGTTCCCTGTGGGGTGATAGTGAGGTTTCCTTCTGGGTGTTAGTAAGGTATCCTGTGGTGTGTTAGTGAGGTATCCTGTGATGTGCTAGTGAGGATTACTGTGGTGTGTTAGTGAGGTTTAATGTGGTTTGTTAGTGAGGTATCCTGTGGTGTGTAAGTGAGGTATTCTGTGGTGTGTTATTGAGGATTCCTGTGGGATGCTAGTGAGGTTTCCTGTGGTGTGTTAATGAGGTAAACTGTAGTGTGTTAATGAGATATTATGTGGAGTATTAGTGAGGTATCCTGTGGGGTGTTTGGTATGTAATCTGTATCCCCTGGTGCGTGTGCCCCTTGTGTTAAATAGTCTGTCTTTATCTACCCTATCAATTCCTCTGAGAATCTTGTATGTGGTGATCATGTCCCCTCTAACACCTCTGTCTCCCAGGCATGTGAGGTTTAATCACATAATACCTCACTTCCAGATTCCCTCACCCAAAAAATACCTCACTAACGAGTCCCTCACCCACACAATACCTCACTAACAAGAGTTCCTCACCCACACAATACCTCACTAACGAGTCCCTCACCCACACAATACCTCACTAACGAGTCCCTCACCCACACAATACCTCACTAACAAGAGTTCCTCACCCACACAATACCTCACTAACGAGTCCCTCACCCACACAATACCTCACTAACGAGTCCCTCACCCACACAATACCTCACTAACAAGAGTTCCTCACTCACACAATTCTTCTCCCTCGCCATACCTCACCCTAGAACACCTCACACAATGGTTACCTCACCTCACAGTATTCTGTTGACAGCGCTGTGGGTGAGCAGCTTCTACGGGAGTAACGCCATGTGCTTCCCTCTACACATCAACGAGCCCTACCTGGTGGGCTGGCAGTACTCGGCTTTCATCTTCCTGGGACTCAATATTGTAAGGTGAGTCCTGACAAGTCCTGGTGAGTCCTAGTGAGTTCTGGTGAGTGTTGGTGAGTCCTAGTGAAGGCCAGCGAGTCCTGGTGAGTCCTGGTGAGTCCTGACGAGTCCTGTTGTTGTGTTCTGATGAGTCATGGTGAGTCCTGGCGAGTCCTCGTGAGTTGTGGCAAGTCCTGGTAAGTCCTGGTAAAACAGTACCTAGTAGACTGCGTGTTCATCTATGATTATTAATTATCCTAATGGTTATTTCTTTGCTTTAGCTTCTTCATTTACTCTTGCACACGTTTAAGTTATGCAGTTTATCACCATATTTTATTGGTCATGTCCTGCAGCTTGGTTATATTCTGCAGTTTGGTTATGTTCTGCAGCTTGGTCATGTTCTGCAGCTTAGTCACGTTCTGCAGCTTAGTCATGTTCTGCAGCTTAGTCACGTTCTGCAGCTTAGTCACGTTCTGCAGCTTAGTCATGTCCTGCAGCTTAGTCATGTCCTGCAGCTTAGTCATGTTCTGCAGCTTAGTCACGTTCTGCAGCTTAGTCATGTCCTGCAGCTTAGTCACGTTCTGCAGCTTAGTCACGTTCTGCAGCTTGGTAATGTTCTTAGTTGTGGGAACCGACCTGTGAGATTTATATTTATTTAATTTATATGAATTTATATTTACGTTAATTTATATACTTCGATAGCAATTTGTATAATGATAAGTGGACTGTATTTCTGCAATAATCTCATAATCTCACAAATCGATCCTCTACACATTAGGGGGGGTTATTATATTAATATATATGCAGCCAATCAAACTACAGTAATAGCTACATACATTGATGAGGTTCCTTATCTTATAGTACAGCAGGTTAGTCCACCAGGTATAACTAGGGTGTAGACACCAAATTATCCTCTTTGAGGTAGCTTCTATCACCCAGTAACTGGTGCACATAATCTTGCATCCTCGTCTTGACCTGTCAAAAGTGCGCTAGCTGTGAAGCCAGAATCCTATATATGACAAGTATATCAGAGAAAACAGTACATGGAACATGAAGACCTGGCTTAATTACCTTTAGTTTGAGGCTTCCATGTGATCTAACCGGATAACCCTACCCAATGACATTAATGGCCACTAATGATAGATAATGGGTTTCGGATAGACACTTAACTTGAATTTGTAGACAGCGTGTTGATAATGGTACACTTTTAGTTTCCATAACACTACGTCCAAGTAAATTTAACAGGAGCCGAATTTGCTCCCGTGTGAGCCTCTGGTCTCAATAACAACAATGGCTGCCCTCCTCCCTCCACTCTGACGCCTGGCTTACATTGTCCAGATTTCAGAACGTGATAGAAGGGTCACATTTACTCTACTTTAATATTGATAATTAAGTTAATTTATATAAGATGTTTTTATGATGGTAAAGTCCAAAGACTTATGTATTTAAGAATAATTCCCAGCAGAATAGCTGGTGAATTATAATAGTATGTGGTGATGATATCCCGCTTTCTACAGACGGTAATTCCACTACAAGTTACGTTTTCTATGGGTAACTTGTTGGTAATACAGCTATTATCTGTATGATATATTAAATGGTGTCGGATTTTCCGACATAATTCCCCAGGGGGCTGCTCACGGGTCGAAGTCCTGTTTAGAACAGACGAACACCGATACTCCTCCTTCGAATTATTAGATTAATCACACATTTGTGCGTCTGTTCGTACAGGACGGATGTCCCGTACTAGAGTTGCAGGGGTTAGAAGTCTAATGCGATTTCATTTCCCTGTCAACTCTTGAAAGGCTAATATTCAAGCCTAATTACATATTATTTAACCCAGAAGACTGGATGTGATCAAGTACTACAGTCAAGTATGATTCAGGGACTGCAGTGAGATCAGTGACATAGATATAACTTGAAGTTTGTTCAGGTAACTAGTCACTGATATATAAACACTGAGGCCCATGAAATACATCTTGATTAAATAATAAATGTATCAAATCAGTCATCAGATTTATTGGGGTTTAATTTAGTTAATTGATTCAGAAGATTGAATAGCTCATCATTAAAGTAAAGTATGGTTCTGAGACTGCAGTGGGTTCAGTGACATTGGTCGCAGTGACTTGTAGCTGTTTTAGGCTACTGTTCACTGATTTGCCACTGAGGCCTCATGAACTCATCTTCAGCTTTAAATGATGATACTAACATCAACGTCTGATGCTATAGTCAGCTGTAATCTCCTTAGTATAATGCTACTGGAGAAATATAATCAGCTGACAAATTTAGATTTCTACTGGTATTGTTTATCTGCAGGCATAGGTCTCCTCAGGCTTGTTACTGGGCCTGAGATTAATTTACCTCCTGCAGAGTTTAACATGGTTATACCCTGATATTTAGTAGGGCTACCGATGAATCGATGGCAATAGTCTGTCCCTACAAGGAGACCGAAGTCGGTGAGGTGATCAGACTTAATATTATCTGCCAATTTTATTCCTCTATTTCTCAGGAATTTGGCTGTTGCTCTCAGACCTTGAACTTGTAGGTCTACTGGTATTTTGTCCACCACAATGGCTTGTACTCGACAGACGTACCTGCCTAAGCGTACTGATGGTTGTACCACCTGGTAGACTTGAGGTCCTGCATCTGTTACAAACCCTGAGATGTTGAATGACATCTGGGCTACAGGCCTTAATTGTAATTCATCTGCCAACTTTTTGGTGATATATGTTCTCTGGGATCCTTGGTCAAACAACCCACGGGTATGGACCTTGGCCCTCTTATTCAGGATGGTAATTTGGGCAGTAGGCAAAGTCGTATTACCTTTAGACTTTGCCGATTGGACACTCTTTGTTTGTTGCACCTTGCAGTACTGTACTGTGGTGGGAATGCTATCTTCCACCTTGGGGTTTGGAGACGTTGTTTTGGTGTCTCTGCACAATGCTGCATGGTGCTGACCTTTGTTACACCTATTACAGGTGTGTAATTGGGTATCACAGTCCTTGATGTTATGTTTCCTGAGGCACCTCGTGCAATGTTGCAAATCTTTGAGTCGCTCAACACGGGCGTCACTATCAGGAAAATTAGAGCAGTGGTACATTGAATGTTTCTCATTGCAGAACAAACATGTTCCATAGCTTCCAGTACCCTTTGGTGTCACGTTCTTGGGTGACACAGTAACTATAGGCTTGGAGGGTCCCACTGCATATACGCCCACACTGCTACTGTTCCACTTTGGTGTTGAATTATATTGTCTAGATTGATTTGGAGTACCTTTGGTACTCTGTGGTTTACTATTATTGGTTTCTGAGGGTTTACTTGGTGGTTTTAATTTGTCATGTGTTCGTAATTGATGAACTACTGACTTTAAACCTTCAGATATTTCATTCATGGATAAGATACTTTTATTGTAATGAGCACTCATTTGTCTCAATATGTCCCTAGGTATTTTCTCCTGGACAATTATTTTCAAGACCCACTCAGCCCCGTTTGTATCTGCTGCCAGGCTGAGGGCATTGATCAATGATTCTACCTCCAGCTTGAAGACTTGGAGTGAATCAGCTGAAGCCTCCGGTGGGGGTAAATGCAACAGCTCATGAACTAAATGTGATGTTCTTACTTCTGGATCAGCATAATTATCCTTGAGGAGTTTTACTGCCAGATCATAGCCGTCATTAGTTAATCTCAGATGGGATACTACTGTTTTAGCCTCACCTGATAATTGGCCTTGCAAATAAGAGAATTTACTACTCTTTGGTAAAGATTGTTTTGAGTCTACAAGGTCAACGAATTTGTTCCAAAATTCGTCCCAATCTTCCTCATCTTTTCCTGAGAAAGTGGGTAAATTAATTGGAGGGAGTCGAGCTTCTGCTTGACTCGTATTAGATGCAACTGTTGTTGTTGTTGCTGTTGCCTTGTTCTGGGCAATTAATTTGACATAAGGCTGTAACGTGGCCTGAGTCTGATCTTCATAATTCGCAAGATCAACCATAATGTCGTCTATTTCTGTTTCTGATAAATTAGTGTTGGCAAGTTCAGCCACATATGTTGCTATTTGGCATTTGATTTGCTCAAATTTACCTGCAGCTGCTTGATAATAGCTTTCCAGGTCAGCATAATCAACTTGAGATTGTTGTGACAAATCTTCACATTTCTTGATCTGTCTTGTTAAGTGGCCTTTAAGACCTGCAAGGGTTCTTTTCATTCTCCCTGCATTATCCATACTGGCTAGTTGGTGAAGCCTTGTGGGGCTTGTACTTGGGCTGCTCATAATACTGAACAAGCTCTGATGGTAGCCTAGGGTAAATTCTGAACTCACTAGGCAATAATCCTACCTCTACTAGAGGTTAGCACTTAAAATTAATACACATTATATATATACAATCATACACACTAATGATTTGAGTGATAAACCAGTGTCACTGGAAGTACCTTTAGGTTAGCTCTTCTATATCACCCTAGGATGGTAGAGACACTAATTAATCACTCAAAGGTGTAATGATCATAAGTAATTTATTATATATACAACTCAACTCGAGTTGATAAAAATTACACCCAAAATAGGGTCTGGACCATTCATTAATGGTGTTAGGTTGTTCAATATAGTACAACTGACTATTGTAATAATGGGACTAGGATGAACGATAATAGTTCAACTAGTCAATGGTTAATATCCTACCCTGTTGTGGGTTGGCAATTAGTAAATATTATACTGTGATCACTAGTGCAATATATATTAAATAATTCTCTATTTTGGAGAAATAATATACACAATTATTGATAATAGCCTCTTAATTAGCCTCTATGAAACTTCTAATATTATCTAGAAGTATTAAATGTTATTAGTGACCTCGCGAAATAAAGTCCACAAAATTCGTGGATAATCTCTCGCGAAATGTAACACCACGAAATCCGTGAACAATCTCGCGAAGACACAGTCACTAATTTGGCTGGATTCTATATTAGCGCTGTCATTTCACGAAATAACACGCCACCAAATTTCTGTGGGTGTGCATGAAACCGCTGAC